CGGAATCATAATGGTCAATACATGTACCTATGATGTTGCGTTATAGACCCTCAAGGAAACATTATGGTCAATACATGTACCTATTATCTGGCGTTGTAGATTTACACGGAATCATAATGATGTTGCGTTGTAGACTTACACGGAATCATTATTGTCAACACATGTACCTATTATGTTGCGTTGTAGTCTCTCACGGAAACATTATGGTCAATACATGTACCTTTTATGTTGCGTTGTAGACTTACACGGAATCATTATGGTCAATACATGAACCTTTTATGTTGCGTTGTAGACTTACACGGAATCATTATGGTCAACACATGTACCTATTATGTTGTGTTGTAGACTTACACGGACACATTATGGTCAATACATGTACCTAGGGTGTTGCGTTGTAGACTCTCACGAAATCATTATGGTCAACACATGTACCTATTCCGTTGTGTTGTAGACTTACACGTAAACATTATGGTCAATACATTTACCTATGATGTTGCGTTGTATACTTACACGGTAAAGTTATGGTCAATACATGTGCCTATGATGTTGCGTTGTATACTTACACGGTAAAGTTATGGTCAATACATGTATCTATTATGTTGCGTTGTGGACTTAGAAAGAGGCATTTTGGTCCATACATGTACCTAGGGTGTTGCGTTGTAGACTCTTACGGAAACATTATGGTCCATACATGTACCTAGGGTGTTGCGTTGTAGACTCTTACGGAAACATTATGGTCAATACATATACCTATGATGTTGCGTTATAGAGCCTCACGGAAACATTATGGTCTATACATTTACCTTTTATGTTGAGATGTAGACTTACACGGAATCATTACGGTCAATACATGTACCTAAGATGTTGCGTTGTAGACGTACACTTAAACATTATGGTCAATACATATACCTATGATGTTGCGTTATAGACCCTCACGGAATCATTATGGTCAGTACATGTAACTTTTATGTTGTGTTGTAGACTTACACGTACACATTATGGTCAATACATGTGCCTATGATGTTGCGTTGTATACTTACACGGTAAAGTTATGGTCAATACATGTTACTCTGATGTTGCCTTGTAGACTTAGAGGGAAACATTATGGCCAATACATGTACCTATGAGGTTGCGTTGTAGACTTAAAAAGAAGCATTTTGGTCAATGCATGTACCTATTATGTTTTGTTGTAGACTTACACGGACACATTATGGTCAATACATTTACCTATGATGTTGCGTTATAGACCCTCACGGAATCATTATGGTCAATGCATGTACCTATGATGTTGCGATGTAGACTTTCAGGGAATCATTATGGTCAACACATGTTCCTATTATGTTGTGTTATAGACTTCCACGGACACATTATGGCCAATACATGTACCTATGAGGTTGCGTTGTAGACTTAGAGGGAAACATTATGGTCAATGCATGTACCTATTATGTTGCGACATAGACTTTCAGGGAATCATTATGGTCAATGCATGTACCTATTATGTTGCATTGTAGACTTACACGGACACATTATGGTCAATACATGTTACTCTGATGTTGCCTTGTAGACTTAGAGGGAAACATTATGGCCAATACATGTACCTATGATGTTGCGTTATAGAGCCTCACGGAAACATTATGGTCTATACATTTACCTTTTATGTTGAGATGTAGACTTACACGGAAACGTTATGGTCAATACATGTAACTATGATGTTGCCTTGTATACTTAGAGGGAAACATTATGGTCAATTCATGTTCCTATGATGTTGCGTTGTATACTTACACGGTAAAGTTATGGTCAATACATGTGCCTATGATGTTGCGTTGTATACTTACACGGTAAAGTTATGGTCAATACATGTACATATGATGTTGCGTTGTATACTTACACGGTAAAGTTATGGTCAATACATGTGCCTATGATGTTGCGTTGTATACTTACACGGTAAAGTTATGGTCAATACATGTGCCTATGATGTTGCGTTGTAGCCTAACTCGGATTCATTACGGTCAATGCATGTACCTATTATGTTGTGTTGTGGACTTACACGGACACATTATGGTCAATACATTTACCTATGATGTTGCGTTGTAGCCCCTAACGGAATCTTTATCGTCAATAAATGTCCCTATTATGTTGCGTTGTGGACTTAGAAAGAGGCATTTTGGTCGATACATGTACCTATGATATCCCCCTATAGACCCTCACGGAATCATTATAGTCAATACATGTACCTTTGATGTTGCGTTGTAGACGTACACTTAAACATTATGGTCAATACATATACCTATGATGTTGCGTTATAGAGCCTCACGGAAACATTATGGTCTATACATTTACCTTTTATGTTGAGATGTAGACTTACACGGAAACTTTATGGTCAATACATGTGCCTATGATGTTGCGTTGTAGATTTAGAAAGAGGCATTTTGGTCGATACATGTACCTATGATGTAGCGTTGTAGAGTTACAAAGAAGCATTTTGGTCAATGCATGTACCTATTATGTTTTGTTGTAGACTTACACGTAAACATTATGGTCAATACATATACCTATGATGTTGCGTTGTAGCCCCTAACGGAATCTTTATCGTCAATAAATGTCCCTATTATGTTGCGTTGAAGACTTAGAAAGAGGCATTTTGCTCAATACATGTACCTATGTTGTTACGTTATAGACCCTCACGGAAACTTTATCGTCAATTAATGTACCTATTATGTTGCGTTATAGACTTACACGGAATCATTACGGTCAATACATGTACCTTTTATGTTGCGTTGTAGACTCTCACGGAATCATTATGGTCAATACATGTAACTTTTATGTTGCGTTGTAGACTTACACGGGCACATTATGGTCAATACATGTACCTATGATGTTGCGTTGTAGAGTTACAAAGAAGCATTTTGGTCAATGCATGTACCTATTATGTTGCGTTGTAGACTTAGAAAGAGGCATTTTGGTCAATACATGTACCTATGATGTTGCGTTGTAGACTTACACTTAAACATTATGGTCAATACATGTACCTATTATGTTGCGATGTAGACTTTCAGGGAATCATTATGGTCAATACATGTACCTATTATGTTGCATTGTAGACTTACACGGAATCATTACGGTCAATACATGTACCTATTATGTTGCGATGTAGACTTTCAGGGAATCATTATGGTCAATACATGTACCTATTATGTTGCGTTGCAGACTTACACGAAAACATTATGGTCAATACATGTACCTATTATGTTGCATTGTAGACTTACACGGAATCATTACGGTCAATACATGTACCTATTATGTTGCGATGTAGACTTACACGGATTCATTACGGTCAATACATGTACCTATGATGTTGCGATGTAGACTTACACGGAATCATTATGGTCAATACATTTACCTATTATGTTGCGTTGTAGACTTACACGAAAACATTATGGTCAATACATGTACCTATTATGTTGCGTTGTAGACTTAGAAAGAGGCATTTTGGTCAATACATGTACCTATGATGTTGCGTTGTAAACTTACAAAGAAGCATTTTGGTCAATGCATGTACCTATTATGTTGCGTTGAAGACTTAGAAAGAGGCATTTTGGTCAATACATGTACCTATGATGTTGCGTTGTAGAGTTACAAAGAAGCATTTCGGTCAATGCATGTACCTATTATGTTGCGTTGTAGACTTAGAAAGAGGCATTTTGCTCAATACATGTACCTATGATGTTGCGTTGTAGACTCTCACGGAAACATTATGGTCAATACATGTACCTATGATGTTTCGTTGTAGACTTACACGGAAACATTATGGTCAATACATGTACCTATTATGTTGCATTGTAGACTTACACGGAATCATTACGGTCAATACATGTACCTATTATGTTGCGATGTAGACTTACAGGGAAACATTATGGTCAATACTTGTACCTATGATGTTGCGTTGTAGACTCTCACGGAAACATTATGGTCAATACATGTTCCTATTATGTTGCGTTGTAGACTTACACGGAAACATTATGGTCAATACATGTACCTATGATGTTTCGTTGTAGACTTACACGGAAACATTATGGTCAATACATGTACCTATTATGTTGCATTGTAGACTTACACGGAATCATTACGGTCAATACATGTACCTATTATGTTGCGATGTAGACTTACACGGATTCATTACGGTCAATACATGTACCTATGATGTTGCGATGTAGACTTACACGGAATCATTATGGTCAATACATGTACCTATTATGTTGCGATGTAGACTTACAGGGAAACATTATGGTCAATACTTGTACCTATGATGTTGCGTTGTAGACTCTCACGGAAACATTATGGTCAATACATGTTCCTATTATGTTGCGTTGTAGACTTACACGGAAACATTATGGTCAATACATGTACCTAGGATGTTGCGTTGTAGACTAACACGGATTCATTACGGTCAATACATGTACCTATTATGTTGCGATGTAGACTTAAACGGATTCATTACGGTCAATACCAATAATGTTTCATTTGAGACTCACAGGAAATCAAATTATAGTGGTCAGTATCAATAGTGTTACATAGTAGACTCTCAAGGAATCATTGTGGTCAGTATCAATGATGTTGCATTGTAGACTCTAACGGACTCATTCTGGTCAGTATCTATGATGTTGCATGGTATACTCTCACGGAATCATTGTGGTCAATACCTATTATGTTGCATGGTATATTCTCACGGAATCATTGTGGTCAGCACCTATTATAATGCATGGTATACTCTCAAGGAATCATTATGGTCAGTACCTCTGATGCTGCGGTGTAGACTCTGACGAAATTATTGTGGTCAATATCAATGATGTTGTTTAATGGACGTACACACTGTCACCGTGGTCAGTACCTATGTTGATGTATCAAGCATGATATATGGTTGACGTATCACTGTGATCTATACATGTACTTATGAATCTGTTTGAATGATATATGGTCCTCGTTTCCTCTCATTAACACAGGTGTGACTGCTGAATTATGTACTGCAGCATACAGGTACTACTACAGCTACAGCTACAGCTACATCTACAGCTACTACAACTACTACGTCGAATGTGACACTGGTTGCTGCGGCTATTATTATGACCGGGAATGCTGTACTTCATCGTAAGTATCAGATAGCATATCGAATATACACGTGTCTCGTGAAAAAACTGTGTAAGATCTTATAGAGTCACCTAGTCCGAGTATCAACTGTACAATGTGATGATATATGTTTTCTCCAAATATGTATATATATATATAAATGTATTACTAAAGATAGATATTATATATTACTTTTAGTTAATGATATATCTGTTCAAATCATGTTTTTACTTTCATAGAAGTGGTACCATTGCCGGAGCGGTTATTGGCGGTATTTTCTTCATCGCCTGTATCGTCGTCTTTATCATCGTCATCAAGTCATGTAACAAGAAAAGGACTGGTGTTATTGTCGCAGGGCAAACTGGTGGACCCGGAAACGTCACGGTCGGTAAGTGTAATTATAAAGGGTTACATTTGTGGTAGGCATGACGATATCAACTGGGATAGATAAATGGACCCAGTGTTCATTACGGAGCTCGGACGATTCAAGTGTATGACTTGTCCAGGCCTTGAACTCAAGATCTTTGACACCGAATCAAATAGTCAAGGACAGTACATATATATACAATTAACATATACTCCAATCAATACAAATTTTAGGAATTTGCAGGAGCAACCTTATCAGGTGCTTACTACTAGTACTATGCCACCTGGCTAATATATCCCTATGTGTGTATACCTGCGTGTGTGCTGGAGATGTACTGCGTTCTATGTGTAGTGTGACCGTGCTTCCAACGGCATCATTTATAGTGCCACCTCACTTGAATGCAACAGCACTGATTTCACAACATCCACCCCAGACTATTCTATGCTCCACCTGGGTTGTTGGAATTAGCGAATGCACTGGATAACTGAACATGAGTTAGCACACTATTGTAGTTTTATGACTACGTAGCCTGATTCTTGCGTGCAACTTTTGTTAGTTTTGGATAATTTCACGGCCTTTCAAATATCCCGTTTCCTTGTTTCCTTTTGGTTCCGATTTTGGCTGTGCAGATGACATTGTGAGACCTTTTTAAATTAATTTTTATATGAAATCAAAAACATTTCGCAGAAATATCAGTGCTTATTTTGAATTATGCGTCATACAAATTATGCAGTGTTGTTTCCAGTGAAATACATCAATCTTGTTTATCATTTTGATAACTTGATAACCTGATGGATCAGAAAGAGTGAATGACATCTGTTAATTATCTGCTTATATAGCATTACACGTTTGAATATCGTAATATACACGCTTAACATTAATCTTCAATATGCAATAAAAAAATCGTGGTTTTCGTGGTTGCTATGGAACTACGAAAAGAAATAACACAACGAATTTGATTGATATATTTCACTACTGTTTGTGGGGGTATCTATGAAAGTTTGTACCACCAAACAATCCAAATAGCTTCGAACCACTAAAGAAATACCCACAAGCATTTCAAATAATGCAATATACTTCAAGATATGACAGTAATTGATGCTTATACTGATAAATGTACATAGATATACACAAATATTTGTACATGTATACATACTCAGAAAACCGTTTCAGTCTTACTTACTAGACATTCATTATGTTTTCTATAGTTAACACTGCCACCCAACAGCAAATGCAACAACAGCCGCACGGAGCCTATCCTCAGCCGGCCTATCCTCCTCCTCCACAGTATGGGGGACAACCTCAACCATATGGGGCTTATCCACAACCACAACCAGCATATGGGGGCCCCCCTCCAACATATGGAGTTCAACCTCAACCACATGAGGGGCAAGCCGGACCGGCTTATCCACCTCCACCAGCAGTAAACAATCCCAATCAACCAGAGAAGTACTAACTCCGAACAAGCAGACCAGGCGTCATAACATCTTACGTGTGGCTAAAGGCTACACACAGAGAATCTAGGAACAAGACCATCCACATAAATTGTGGGTAAATATTTAGCGAGGTTGATTAAAAAAAGAAAAAATATTAAGAGGGTCCGTTTAAGCCTGAGTGATTTTGACAAAACAAATTAGATTTATATATTTTACAATTTTATAAATAACATTTGTTGATTATATATATTCTACCAAGTAATTAAAATGTGTTTTCGTATTAACCCTATAGCCACGATCTTTACTTATGTATTTTTATCCTTTTTGATGTTGTGAGCTTGTTGCTCTATTTGCTTGCTATATTTGAAATTAAGGTTTATATTTGGGAAAGATGATGTGTGCCTTATTATTTGTTTATTTATCATTAATTTACTAGAAATGCTATTAACCAAAGAAAATGCATCCTTCCTGAGCTTGCCCTATCACTCTGACCAAGTTGAGTGAAGTTTTTGTGTGTGTACGACTTAAAAGTCACCTATTTTGGGGTATAAAAATCCCGCAAATTGCACTTGCAGTTGCCATTTGGTTTCTCGATTCCACAGAGAATTAACTGTGCAATCACTCTTGAACTTACAAACACGTTTTCAGTTACCATTCCGAACAAGTTGACTGAAACATTCACAGACATGGTAGATATTCAATACTAGAGTGGTATATTTCAATAGGGTGTGTTAAGTGTGTGGTTATAACCAATAAAAAGTGTCGTAACATCACACACATGGCACAGATTAAGTTATAATTAAGTGGTAATTATCTATACAGTGGTTATAACCAATGAAAAGTGTCGTAACATCACACACATGGTATATATTTAATTATTCTAAAGTGATATTTATAATACAGATTGTTGAACATAATATTTGAATTCGATACTAGGTGTAAATGGCCAACTGCTTTGAGCCTGTACTAATAAATGAAAGACGTGTCAAAACCATTAAAGAAAAATGAAAAGTTTACACTTTCTGAACATGTCGATTTCAAGGGAAGTACAATCTTGTAGGAAACGAAATTTATATCTGTAAAAGTGTAAAGGTGAAATGTGTAATTGTCAAGAAAGATACATGTATTATATGTTCACTGTTGGATAGATTTAGATGATATATATTATTTTAATATTTCCTTTTTTTATGCATCAACAATTCAATTTATGTTTCACATTTTGGTTAGAAATAATAAACAATCTTTTTTGGATATGCATGTGTTTGTTAATATATCACTCAATATACAATAATCCTTCAAGCTTGCATACACCTATAACGTTATTGAAAACATTGCAGCTATTCTGTGGTAATTGAACTATGATCAAAGGACCACAGTATCTTTGTTTGCGATTAAATCGTCCAATAGTTCAACATCAAACGTTTTCTTCGATAAATAAAGGATTTCATGACCTTAAAGCCTAAAAATCCTACCATAATCTTTATAAGAATATTGTTGTGCCATTTTCTTTTTAAAACCCATTTATATTGCCGTTCGTACATAACTCCATAAAGACACCAAAGTTCTGAAAACAATGTACACGTTTGTGTGAATGCCTCATTGATAATGTTGTTTTAAATTAACTGTTATTTTTTACTAGAGAGGCGTCATTCCGGTTCAAAGATCTTTTAAATATCTATATAAGCAATACACACGTGCTCATTGTCCTATTGTAAAGTTATACATCGGTTTACAAGGAAGATTTTGGACCGGAACGTGTAAAAAAAGGATATACTACAAACACTAAAGATAGCATGCACCGTTGGTTACAAACAATGGTAGTTAGGAAGTGCATAACATGGCGTGTTTGGATTGTCGCTTTTTACTCCTAGTTACCAAGTAAACAAATTGTGAAATTACGACCTGTTGTGGAGACATCCACTCTGCGTTACCTCATTGTCCTATCATAGATACAGACACGTCATTTTTACCATATCATGGTTGTGACACGGGCTGGGAGGGGGGAGGGGGTGAAAGGGAGGAGGAGAAACAGAAACTATAAATATAAAAATGATACCGGGTGTCAGTACATCGATATCGTAAACTTGGAAATGCTGTCTGATTTAAATTATTTTTATCTATTCATATTTTAAACTGGTCCCCGTCTCTAGAATATTGAATTATCAATAAAAAATCAAAATAAACACTCTAATAGACTGTCTGTCATGTAAGACTTTCCTCCCTTTATACATGTGTAGGATTAAGTCGGTTAGTTCTTTTAAATATTTTTTTTTACTTTCCCTTTGATACAAATGACAACATCACAACTCAATTCTATGACATATGTCATATCTCTTCCACTACAATAATGGTTACATGACATTTTTCTATAGTATGATAACAATTACTTCATCATTAACAGACACTATGATTTACATATATATGCAAATATGACAATGATTACCACATCGCTACCGAACTTCGAAACAGGAGTAATGACAATATTTTAATTATTTTTGCCTTACGTCAAAAGTATCAGCCGATGCTTCCCCGCTTGTGACGTCTACTTGTGACACGCGCTCACTTTCGCTCTCTGCACACATGAAATTTGTCATACAAACATTGAATTCACACAGTTAGCTATTTGATTGATCTCAGGTAAACAAAACAAGTGACCAATCGCTTGTATGACTTCTTGTTCTCTAACGATTACAGAGTAGCGACACCCGACTTGAAATCTTAGATTGATTTATGAAAAGTATGTTAATTTCTGCCAACATCCAATCCAGTTTGTCACGTATAAATGTTTAACACATAATGTACTGTGTTATCCAGTGAATATACTGGTGTCATTTTTTTTTCCCTTTTAACCCATGTAATATGACCTATCAGTCCTGTGATTGGTTTTACGTTTCAATTGTTTCAATTGTGACGTCACGCCAAGGACAAGTACATGACATCACAAACTTACGCACTGGAGTCAAAATGGCGGCGTTTTACATTTCAAGGTTGCATGAAAATTGTCGTTTTACTCGATTTCATTTCATATGAAATTTATGAAACTCGTCACGATTTTTTTATTTTAGCTCACCAGAGGCTCGCGTAATTGATTGATCCTATATATAATTGTAACTAAAAGATTATCCAATTCTTCGTCATATGTTTTGATTTCTCGTCTTCCTCTTTCATATTGTATAATCCACATATTTTCTAACGCTTCAATATCCCCGTCCCACTGCAATCTTGTTTTTCGTATATACCGTTACTTCCCCATTATTTCCTTATTATAAAACTGAAGCACAGAATGACCAGGCAACTTCCGTTGACGAGAAAGCTCATTAGGTAAGAGCGAAGTTCAAGGTTCGAATCCGGTCCAGTTCAGCTATTTGTTTACTTTCATAACACTGTTGTTAATTATATTAAGTTTCTTTCATTTTGATTACTTTGATCATCAATGTCCGACAAGGCATGGTTTTCTTTAAGTGATGATTTTCAAAGTTAGAGTCATGCCGGAAAAAACAGTAACTTAATCAGTTTTAGGAGGTGGTACATGGATCCTTAGATTTGAAATGAACGAAATACAATAAACAAAAACGTTCTGAGTGTGAACAATCCGCAGTGCTAGACCGAGATTCGAGCCTTGGACTTCGGATTGTTAAATGAGCTACAAACGTTCCTAGTCTACAAAAGCTTCCTGGCCGAACGATACTACAGTTAAATCCAAACGGGTTTTGAGGGGAGGCTACTTGTATATAGGAAACAACCACAGTGACAGGGGTCCTTAATGTCATCAGGGATCGGGTCCATCACATTGGATAATTGCCTTTTATATATGTGATGCTCTGGACAATTGTTGCACATTGTACATTTCAAGTAAAAAGGACAGTCTGTGGCCACTCTGTAAATGATTCCAGATTTTTACCATAGAAGACACACTCAAAGAGTGTCCCCGTATGTTAACTCTATTAATGCAGAGAAACCCTGGCGCTATTGGATCGAGTGTGACATAAACAAAAATGAACTCCAGCGTATATGGAACAACGATTTCAAGACGTAAGGTGTGTAAGCATCACAAAGTTTGATACAGTTTCCCTTTGTTTGATGTCAGACTGAGTAATAGTCACAAGAAATGCAAGGCATAGATACATCAATTTAAATATTTACGTCAAGACAGAAAGCCAACAAACTAAACATTTTTACAAAATCTTATGGCCATTTTGTCAATTTCAAACTTATCAGTGGAATAAAATGCCAAAAGAAACAGTCAGTTTCTCTGTTGGTTATCGTCAATAGGGAAACTTTTTAAATATTTGGTACTTGGAATAGATTGTGATGAGCACACAAGTTCTGCTATAGTTCACATCCGTGTTTATGTTTTATTTTCGATGTAAATAAAATGCTTGAAGTACAGTTTTATTCATAGACAGGTAGAGCAAGCGATTAACTGACGTAGATCATTATAAAAGGCACTAATTTCCATTAAGGGAATCTCCCGTTACTTTTACTTTTGAAAATAAGAACGATACTGAAAATAAGTATTTTTAAATCTGACCAAAAGATAGAGAAGTCTAACATTAAGTGTGTTAAGAAATCGGAAGCATTGAATTTGTATATGATATAGAGTTGTGCATATAAGCAGTGTTAGGCGGTATGGCTGAAACAGTTCCTTGTCTTCGGTATTATTCTCCGTTGCAAGCGTTCCGCCTTATCATTAAAATTGTGACACACAAACTCACCGACAAACATAAATGGTCAAATATCAATTATATGATATGTCATCCAGTTTTCATCTGTCAACAAGCTAACGAAAATATCGTAGAAACACTAAAAGCAAGGTGAGGAGGGAAAAAACAAAGACATAGAAAATGGGGTGAGCGTGTGTGACTAGGACAGAACAAATTCGGTTTCTAGATGTAACCAAGGCGTGTGTACAACACGGAACGTCTGATTCAACAGTCAGGGGTTCCACATAAGTCACAACCTATAACATACAGTGCAATTAAACATGCGTTGTTTGACATAAATGTTCTGCTTTGTACCTTTTCTTCTGAATCCAAACGAGGTGTAATGAATTAGGAATACAACCCACATAAATGTCTAATACATGTAGCATCATTCCCTACTATAAGGTAACATCAAAGAGGTATTAACTTAAGAATGACTAACCCAATGCTTACTTTACGCGGTGTACGGTTAGAACTTCAAGAATCGCATTCCTAAGGCTGTTCTTTCTCTGCAATCCCTTTAAATGCATGGGATGATTCTATTACTACAGTTCTTTGAATAGTGTTTGAAAACAACACTGTTGCAGCTTTTCATGACCTCTTCATGATAGAAGAAACATTTTTGAGAAGAGGATGTCCAAAATTACCAAACGGGTCTTTTGAATTTTTCAAACTCCACGTTACATTTATTCCACCTACCGAGTATATTGAGTCATAATACGAGTTTCTACCACTATTGCCCGTATCTATCAACTCTCAGACGATTATCTGTATTTCTGGTTATTTAACAAGCTGTGAAGTTGATTAACACCTTCTGGCATTTTGAATGGCTGAAATATGCACTTTGATCCCGTACTACTTTTCATTCTGAACTGTCATCTGTCAACATCAACATGGCCGAGTTGCCATTGCTGCCGTTGGTACAGATAGATGATCGGGTGAAGCTTTGTTGGGGAGAGAAGGGTGAAGTTTTGGATATTTCATAGTTTTGAAATCAGACTGGAGTTCAGCGGTAAGATGGTCACCGAAGCCAGGTACAGATTCGATATAATCCCCGGGCAGGACATCCCACCGGCAATCCCCCTCCCCAGACCCTCCCCGGACCATAACAACGTTACGCTCCGCCTCTTCTCGGCAAGTGGAATGTCCCACTCTGCCCATTCCCCCATCAAAAACGTCAATTATCTACCAAATTCCGTTGACGAAGTCATCAACATTGATATAGATAAAAAACAAAACAAAAAAAAACGAATCTGACATGAACAACCTGTCAGAATTTCTCTGTCAAAACCTCAAGGACTCACGGCTAATCTTACAAATATCACCTCAGGAACTATGCAAACTATGCTACTTAGAAGGGTACAAGAAGTTTGTATAATAGCTTGGTTGAGCACCAAATATGATTGTTGTAAAATTTCGGAATCAAATAAAAATAAAGCAGGTCCGAATCCTTATCGGTAGTGGGTATTCGGAAAGATTATACTACAGAAGCATACGTAGCTAGTATTTAGTCTTTCGAAAAGTATGAAGATAGAGTTA